GTGGCAACGCCGCAATGCTGAAAATATTTTAGATCGATAGAACAGGTAAGGAAATGTGAGAGGTGAAATTTTCAGAAAAATCATGCTTTGCGTTTTCCAGAAACGTCTAACCTACCATCGACCGTGAGTCACGCTATAGTTAACGTACACAACTGAAAATAATCATTGTACACTTTTCATACAGTGCCAGTGCCATATACTGATATTCAGCTTCTGTAGTGCTCAGTGCAACTGGGTTTTCCTTTCTAGATTGCCAAATGAAAGTTGCGTTAGCCATATCAGTACCTAAACATATATATATAAACGACTATCTTCTATAGCTATCTCAGTCAGCATCTACAAGTCTTCCAATTGGTTTTCCAGTTTTTTGAAAACATAAACCGTAATCTGTGGTTCCATTTAGGTATGTCGAAGTTTTTTTCGCTGAATTCAAAGGCTCTTTTTCATGGTGATTCCTAAATTGACCTGAATAACTCGTCTAACAACGTACGTGGACTGTTAAAATATAAAGTACATTCGTATATTCGATTAGCGAGTTTTTTATGTTGGTACGTCTTGAATATATGTTCATAGTTTCAGCTGTTTAGCATGTTTAGTCGACAGTGGTAGCGAATTTTGTTCCAAAATTGCTGAATTTTGACGAAAAAGCATGAGCATCGCTCAGGAATTGTTGACTAGTGTCAACAGCGAATCAGATGTTCTTTAAAGGATCATAACCAGTGACGAATCATTGGTATATGGTTATGACATCAAAGCCAAAGTCCAGTCGTCCCAATGGAAGACTCCAGGGGAGCTAAGATCAAAAAAGCACGCCAAATTCGATCAAATGTCAAGGTTTTGCTCACTGTTTTCTTTAATTAAAGTGGCGTAGTGCATTGTACGGTCAATAACGAGTATTTTCTTGAAATGCGCCGCTTGCGAGAAGCAATTTGAAGAAAACGTCCGGTATTGTGGAAAAACAATTCATTTCCTTAATGCACCTGCTTACTTGTCATTGCGGGTTCGTAATTTTTTGGCTAAAAACAACACTTCAATAATACCTCAGCCACCGTATTCACTTCGAGGATTCAAAAAAACGCTGGCACAAGATCATCAACTGAAATTAAGCAATACTTGGGCAATACCTCTTGATATAACTTCCTTAGGCCCGGCAATAACTGTGTGTATGAGTCCTAGAACCACTTCGTCTCATCCTTAGGAAATTTTTCAACGGTTTGTTTTCCTTTAAGACACTTGAAATATTGTACGCTTTTTTCGTCACCAAAATTGACTTCAATGGTAATCAAACCATTTTTGCGCATATTAATTTCCTAACTTAATTTCCTTTAACTATGACAAGGAGCCTCAAATTTGCCTATCTTAATGTAAGGTATCTATTCACTGGGTTTGACTTGCTTGAAGATTTCATCATCACTCACAATATTGATATATTTGCTATTTCAGAAACTTGGCGTAGTCAAGATATCTCTTCAAATACAGTGGAAATTAAGAATTACTGTCTTGTT